TGGGATTCAGTGGTCTGGTTTCCTTACAGACTTTGCTTGTCAGAAGTCGGCAACAAAGGCTACAAAGGGTGATCACGTGATTGCAGGATATTACAATACTTGCAACCAGGTGGACCTTCAAACAATCACTGAGCAAGTGGACATGAAAGGCGGCTCCCTGTCGTTTTCTGCCTTCGAGTTTTGATTTCTGGAAATTGCCTGTAGTGAGCCCTGTAGTTTTCTTGGCAAGGTTTTTCCAGAAGTGATTGCCATTGCCTCCTTCCTGGGGCCGAAAGAGAGAGTCTGGCTCAAAGTCACCCAGCTGGTGGTTTTGCCCATGAATACCAACTGGCTAAATCACTAAAACAATCTCCAGGTTTCTAGCCTAATGCTCTAACCCAGGAGTGTCAAACTTATATCGTCACAGCGGCATCAAGTGAGGTATTGGGACTTTTCCCCCCTTCACTAAACAGGGCGGGGGCATGGACAGCATGTGATGCATCAAGCCTGGGGGCCACGAGTTTGACAACCCTGCTCTAACTACTGCACAAAACTGGCTCTCTACCTCTATACGGATCCCTTTTGTTCAACTAGACTAACCCAAAGATGTTTCTCTGGGAATAGAAAGTAAAATTACTCACTAGCTCAGTTATTTCTTCAGTAGCCTAAAAGAAGAAGAAGAGATGTTACCAGCATACCCTAAAAGATCTTTTCATCACAAATAATTTCTTATGAAGCCTTACATGGTGTCTGAGAAGGCTAAGAATAAAGCCCATCGATTACTTGGATTTTAGCACTCTGGATTTAAAAAATGTTTCTGAAAGACAAACTAATAAATGGATCTTTTGGACTGGCTTTTGAAGGCCAGAAAGGAAATATGAGATGCTGTTCATATATTAAAGTAATAAAACATGCAAAACTGGGCCAAAGGAATCCTCACCTGGGGTTTGGTCTGTGGAGATTTCTGAGGTATCTGCAAAAAAGAAAATCAAAAATTTTCATCGTTATTCACATTCATGTGAAAAGTTGGAAAGGATGTTTATTTTGGAGAGAACATGTTTTTGGATAAAATGAAAATGTTTAGGGTTATTTGTATGAAAGGAATATTTGCCCAGGATTCCTATGCTGGCTTTGTTTGAAGAATCAGAGCAAGAAAAGGAAGTGATTATTCCAGGATCAAAATTGTTTAAAACATTAAAGATTTGTTAAAAGGAAATAAATATTCATCTGGAATTATCCTGGAATATTTCTTATCTCGGTTTTGAAGGAGAATAGACAGGAATTGCTTCCCTTTAGAGAATGCCTATATACTTATTTGTATATATAATTTTTGATTCCATAATGTGACAGATGATGCAAAAGCTGCTAGTTGGAAACATTCACTTTTCTATTTGCAAATACCCTACTAGTCTCTCTCTCTCTCTCTCTCTCTCTCTCTCTCTCTCTCTCTCTCTCTCTCTCTCTCCTCTCTCTCCTTCTCTCTCTCTCTCCTCTCTCCTCCTCTCTCTCTCCTTCTCTCTCTCCCCTTCTCTCTCTCTCTCTCTCTTTCTCTCAAACTCTGCTCTGATACAACCACTTTCCTCCCTGCCTTTGTCTTCCTGATGAAGAATTGTCAGAAAGAAAGAGACCTGCCATATTAGAAAAGGCTTTAACCAGAAATTCAACATCATAGCATCTTTTCAGTGCCAAGAGATGGAGATTCTAACATCAGTTGATAAAATACAACAAATCCAAATCCTACCCTCAAAATGACGCTATAGAGCCCTGCACACCAGAACAACTAGACACAAGGACAGTTTTTTGCCGAATGCTGTTACTCTGCTAAACAACTAACTCCCACAACACTGACCAAATATTTACTAAGTCTGCATTACTATTGCTATTAATCTTCTCATTGTTCCTATCATCCATCTCCTCCCACTTGTGACTATATGACTGTAACTTTGTTGCTTGTATCCTTACGATTTATATTGTTTCCTAGTATGATTTGATTGCTTATTTGTACCCTATGACTCTTATTAAGTGTTGTACCTTATGATTCTTGATGAATGTATCTTTTCTTTTTTGTACACTGAGACCATATACACCAGGACAAATTCCTTGTGTGCCCAATCACATTTGGCCAATAAAGAATTCTTT